CATTCATTCCCTTCCGTTTTTTTTCTTTTCTTTCTTTTTTTTTAGAAAGAAAGAGAGAGAAAGAGAAAGGGGTAGAGAAAACAGGAGTCTTGTTCTATTGCCCAGGCTGGAATGCAATCTAAAAACAGGTGTTAAAAACCTCTTTTATGCCGATAATTGTGCTTAACAGCAGAGACAGGAAGAATAAGGGAAGAAAATAACAAACAAACAGCCAACCAATATTTCATTTAAGTCTTTGAAATGCTATGCAAATGCTGAAGAGTGATTTACTTCCAATTATGTGGTAACTTTCAAAATAGGTGTAATATGATACTGAGAAAAATGTATGTTCTGTCGACCTAGGGTGAAGAATTCTATAAATATTCACTGAGTTTACTTGTTCCAGATCTGAGTTCAAATCATAGATGTCCCTGTTAATTTTCTATCTCATTGATCCGTCGAATATTAACAATGTGGTGTCAAATTCTCCTGCTATTACTGTTCGGAAGTCCAAGTCTCTTTATAAGTCATTAAGAACTTGTCTTATGTATCTGGGTGTTCCTATATTGGGTGCATATATATTTATGTTCATTGACTCCTGTTGTTGCATTGATCCTTTTACCATTATGCAATATCCTTTTTTGTTTCTTTTAGTCTTTGTTACTATTAAAGTCTATTTTGTCAGAGATGAAAGTTACAACTCATGTCCCCCCCACCCCCCACTCTCCATTTGATTGATAGGTCTTCCACCAACCCTTTGTTTTGAGTCTTTGTGTGTCCTTGCTTATGAGATGGATCTGGATACAGCATACCCATGGGTTTTGACTTTTTATTCAATTTTCCTGTCTGTGTCTTTGATTGGGGCATTTAATCCTTTTAAATTTAGCATTAATATTGATATTTGTGAGTTTAATATTGTCGTTTAATGCTAGCTGGCTATTTTGCCCATTAGTTGATATAGATTCTTCATTATGGAGATACTCTTTACCTTTTGGTAAGTTTTTCGGATGACTGATACTGGTTGTTCTTTTGGTGTATAGTGCTTCTTTCAGAAACTCTTGTAAAGCAAGCCTGGTGGTGATGAAATCTCTGAGTGCTTGCTTGTTCGCAAAAAATTTTATTTTTCCTTCATTTATGAAGCTTAATTTGGCTGGATATGAGATTCTGGGTTGAAAATTCTTTCCTTTGAGGATATTGAATATTGACCCCCACTCTCTTCTAGTTTGTAGGGTTTATGCTGAGAGATCTGCTGTGAGTCTGATAGGCTTCCCTTTATGGGTAACCTGACCTTTCTCTCTAGCTGCCCTTAGAATTTTCTCCTTTATTTCAACCCTGGTGAATCTAATGATTATGTGTCTTGGGGTTGCTCTACTTGAGGAATATCTTTGTGGTGTTCTCTGTATTACTTGGAGTTGAGTGTTGACCTGCCTTACTAGGTTAGGAAAGTTTCCCTGAATAATATCCTGAAGAATATTTTCCAGCTTGGATTCATTCTCTTCATGACATTCTGGTACACCTATCAAATGTAAATTAGGTCTTTTCACATAGTCCCATATTTCTTGGAGATTTTGCTCATTCCTTTTTACTCTTTCTTCTCTAATCTTGTCTTCTTTCATTTCATTAAGTTGGTCTTCCACCTCTGCTTTCTTCTGCGTGATCAATTCGGCTGTTAAAACCTGTGCATACTTCCCAGAGTTCTTTTATTGTATTCTTCAGTTCCATTAATTCACATATATTCCTCTCTAAATTGTCTATTCTCGTTAGGATTTCATCAGACCCTTTTTCAAGGTTCTTAGTTTCTTTACATTGGGCCAGAACATGTTCTTTTAACTCACAGAAGTTTCTTATTATCCACTTTCTGAAGCCTAATTCTGTTAATGGAATGCACTCGTTCTCCACCAGGTCTTGTTCCCTTGTTTATGAGGAACTGTGATCCCCTGTAGAGAGAGAGGCATTCTGATTTTGGGTATTCTCAGCCATTTTACTGGTTTCTTCCCATCACTGTAAATTTATCCACCTGTCATGTTTGTAATTACCGAATTTCTAATTAGGTCTCTGAGTGGACGTCCAACTTGTTGATTCCCAGCGCTGGAATCTGAGCAACCCACTCCACCAGCTAAAACAGCGGCGTTAAGATTCATGGTGCTTTTCTGCCCGGGAACCTCTGGACTGGCTTCCTTCTTGAGTCCCTTTTTCAATCAGCTGAGCAGGCAACTCTGCCTTCCTGGAGCTCCAAATGTCGACCAAAAGGGGACCCAGTCACATTTACTCTGCAGGAAGAACCACCGCACCAGCCACAAGAGTCGCGCTGGTGACCCATGGGGCTCTTCCACTGGGAATCTCCTGGTCCTTAAGCAACAAAAATTCTTCTGAAAGTGTGGCGTCCTCTCATTCTCTGCACTTTCACTGGGAGCTGCAATCCTGAGCTGCTAGTAATCAGCCATCTTGGATCTCTCCTCCCTTCCCTGTTTTTATTCCCCTCACAACATATTACTACCAGATATAATGGGTTTACTCATAGGTTATTTTGTTTCTCCACTAGAAGATAAGCACCATGAAGATGGGAATTAACTTTATCACACTGACCAAAAAGAGTCACTGCTTAATTAAATAAGTTCACTAGAAAAGTTGAAGATAGTTGTACACTTTTTAAAGATCAAATTTAAGTGGTCAGTTTCCCAGTGCACACATTTTTGGAGTGTGACTTTCACATATACAATCCTTATAATTGTAAAATACTTGGGACACCAACAGTCCTCAGAGAGTTCTTGCTAGCCTATATATTTTTCCACTGCAAAGTTTCAGAATTAACCTAGGCTATTCAGCTGGACAGATACCACAGACTTTAGAAAATAAAATGAACATACTTTTCAGACACTGGTTAATAAAGCATTATTGTTATAAGAAAGACTATTGTTCTCAAAACTATGATTATAATCAGCATTTATTTAGCAATTATTATGTGTCAAGCAGTACCCTAAATATTTTACATGTTTTAATGAAATATTCCCAAAACTTATATGTTAGCTACTATTATCATCTCCATTTTATAGATAAGGTACAGAGATGTGAAGTTATTGATTAAACTCATATAACTAGCATAAGAATGTACTGTGTTGAATAGTGTGCCTCAAAATTCATGTCAACTTAGAACCTCAGAACATGACCTTATTTAGAAACAGGGTCTTTGCTGTTGAAATTGGCTAAAATGAGGTCATGCTGAATGAGAGTGGGCCCTAAGACCAATGACTGGCGTACTTATAAGAAGGTTATGTGAAGATAAAGACACAAAGGGACAAGGGCCGTGTGACAATGGAGGCAGGGATTGGAGTGAAGCAGCCACAAGCCAAGGAACATCAGGATTGCTAAAAGTTGTCAGAAATTAGGAGAGACGCATGAAACAGATTCTCCCTCAGAACCTCCAGAAGGAACCAACCTTGCTGACAACTTCATTTCAAATGTCTGGCCTCCAGAACTATGAGAAAATAAATTTCTATATTTTCAAGCCACCCAGTACGGTAATCTGTTACAGCAGACCTAGGAAAATAATACAGTGATGAATTTACTTCAAATCCAGGTCTGTCTCACTTTACAAGTTAAGCTTTCAGTCATTTTTCTTTTCTTTTTCTTTTTTGAGACAAGGTCTCACTCTGTCACCCAGGCTAAAATACAGTGACACATTCTCGGTTCACTGCAACCTCCACCTCCCGGGTTCAAGCAATTCTCCTGCCTTAGCCTCCTTAGTTGCTGGATTACAGGAGCACACCACCATGCCCAGCTAATTTTTATATTTTTAGTGGAGACAGGGTTTCAGTGTGACCAGGCTGGTCTCAAACCCCTGACCTCAAGAGATGCACCTGCCTCGGCTTCCCAAAGTGCTGTTTAAGGGTATGAGCCACTGCACCAGGGCCAGCTTTCAGACATTTTACTGCCTTACTTCAGCATGTCTTTTCTATGGCTCCTTTCCAGCACAAATCACACTTTATGGCAATTCTCTATAACTAATGCTAGGAAATATAGTTTTAATTTTTAAAAAATTTTTGATTTGTGACAATGTATAGTTGATTTAAAAACATATACATCTATGGAATATAAAAATATGTCTTTTTTTTTTTCAGACAGAAATCACTCTGGCCCAAACTGGAGCACAGTGGTGTATGTAATCTTGGCTCACAACTTCTGCCTCCCATATTCAAGTGATTCCCATGCCTCAGCCTCCCAAGTATCTGGGATTACAGGGAATATGTCTTACTCATCTTTTTAACCACAGGCCTCATGTAATATCTCACAAATAGCACATGTGACTGGTTATCAAGAAAAAAAAAAGAATACCCATTCCTTTATTGGCAAAATCTTCCTTCTTCATAGTTCTCCATTTTCTTACACATAACAGGAAATGCTTTGGTTAATATCAGCAACAATAAAAAGCTAATGCGTATAATTATGTTACTAAATACATTTCTATAGTTTATGAGTTTATTAATTTTAAGTTAATGCCTCATTCTTAAAGTTCATGTTCTAATTATGAATAATTTTATATTTAGATTTTTATTTAATTCTTTGTATCGTGACTTATTATAGATAGAATTTAAAGCAATTACTTCATGGCAATGCAATAAACTAAACTATAATAATTGCACGTAAAAATGGGACAAAGCACAGAATGAAAGAAAAATTAATATGAAGGCAAGAGTGAGGTCTGAACAAAAAAAATTCATTGAGTAAATTCTTAACCTTGTAAGAGGTGAGCCAGAAATTTGATGCTGCAACAGAAATGCTAAAATAAGAAGACACGTTCAGAGGAGACCTCAAACGCAAACATACCAGTTTCTTAGGAGGCTCTCACTAAGTTATTATTGGCCAGACACCAGGTAGAGATTTGTCCTATGGCTATATATAAAAAGGGAATTTCGTGTAGCTTTAGCTGTGCTGTCTTATTAGGAAATAGAATTTGGTCATCACAAGAACATAAATTTCAGAGTCATACAAACCTGGGTTCAAATCTTGGCTCCACCACTTACCAGCTGCATGATCTTAAGAAGTTCCTGAATTATTTCCATTTTTGATCATTAAGGTTAACAAAGTTACTTCATTCTGTTCCTTTGAGGGTTAAAAGAGATAAGACATTTACAACACTTGACAGAGGGGGATGCTCTTTGTTAGTTATCTTCTCCTAATAAATGATTGTCATTCATGGTAGACCTCTAAGCAATCCTTTATTTGTGAATTACTTATTGCCCTTTCCTGATCCAGATGGAAATTGATGTTCATTTTAGGCAACTCACAAGCTATTGGGTTGTAATCCTACATTTCATAGTCATATATACTTGTTTATATGGTATTGCAATATGCTTTAACTTATGTATATTCTAAAAAATAGTGATAATAGAAGTGTGAGAAGTGCTGCTCACCATTCTACTCAATGAACATAGGCCAGACAGAAATCGAGATGGGAGACTGGATGCTGTTGTTTAAATCTAGAAAAAAATCATTGAGTAGATTCTTAATCTTGTAAGAGATGAGATGTCTTGATTTCTCTGTTCCACTGTGTGTCTCACAACAATGAAGGTGATTTGAATTTTAAAGATAGATATTTATCAACAATCACAAACAGCCCTCCAAAGCCAATTGCTTCATTTAGTGCCATTTTAAGGAATTAGAAAATCATTATAACGTTGGAGAAAAACTAACCATGTTGAACTTATTGTGAGAATTTATTCCTAGTAGACTGTGAAACATAATTTTTATTCTCTGTGATCACATGTAAAATCTGAAAGCAAATTTTAAAACCTAGTTTGTACAAAAGTTAGGACTTACTTTATACCCCCTTGTGCCAGACAGAAAACAGATGCTCAATAAATGTATATGGGAAGAAAGAAAGCGAGAAGAAGAGAGAGGCAGAGAGAGACAGAGAGAGGTGACGCAAGAGAGAGAAAGTATGTGTGTGTGTGGGTATGTGTGTGGGGGAGTGTGCGCGCGCGCACGCGCGCATGCATTTGTGTGTATTTAGGGTTTTAAAAGTCTTGCTGGTTACATAAAACCAAATATTCACCATTCATGATATTCAAATCCTTCAGCTCTGGTTCTGTCAAGCTGGGAGTTTAAACTCTCCAGGGAATTTACTCACTTCCTGTCTCTTCTCTTTCTACCGGGAATGAAGACAACTTATTACACATTCCTTTTTCCAGGTTGTTGGACTGTCTTAGCCTCAGAAGGTTACAGTTAAAAGCACACTAGGTTGGGGTCAGGAGGTCTCAGATTGAGTTCCATCTCCCCTGACAATTATGTAATCTCTGGCAACATGCCTAATCACTGTCTGAGCCTCAGTACTTCCCTATCTGCAAAAAGAAAGCAGGACTAGATTATCTCTAAGATCAAATTGATGAATCATTTTTGGACATGTATTCTACTAATTTTAGGTATTTTTTTAATCATGAAAATAGAAGCGTGGTCTCTACTTCTCCTTAGGGAACTTTGATTGGATTTTGGACTTCATCTCTCTCACACAATGAAAAAGTTTTTACTTCTTTCCAAAGTTAAGAGTTTATAATCCCAAACTGGAACTAACTTAACAGCTTTTAGCCTATTTTCCTTTATCTTTTTTTTTTTTTTTTTGAGACAGTTTCTCTCTTGTTACCCAGGCTGGAGTGCAATGTGTGATCTCAGCTCACCGCAACCTCCGCCTCCTGGGTTCAGACAATTCTCCTGCCTCAGCCTCCTGAGTAGCTGGGATTACAGGCACGCGTCACCATGCCCAGCTAATATTTTGTATTTTTAGTAGAGACGGGGTTTCACCATGTCGATCAGGATGGTCTCGATCTCTTGACCTCGTGATCCACCCGCCTCGGCCTCCCAAAGTGCTGGGATTACAGGCATGAGCCACCACGCCCGGTCTAGCCTATTTTCAATAAAAGAGGAATCTATATGTTTCTGTCTGACATTCACATATGAAAACTTTGCTAACTATATACCAAAATACTCTGTGTATCTTCTCATTGCTTATTTTACTTGTATATATTAGTTGATTTTTTTCAGAAGGAACTGGTGCTAAAGTGATATATTACATCTTTTGTTTATTTTTCTTAAAATTTTTATTTTGGTAAAGTATATTACATTTTTTTTGAAAGGAGGAATTTTATCTCTGAAGATTGGCAAAGTCCCCATAGCTAGTTACAGCAGAAGCCTTCCATGGCCTACACTTATGTTTCCCCTTCACTTCTTCCTTGATCAGAGAAACCCTGAAAGATTTCGCTAACGTGCTAAGAAAAGTCCTACTGGGAGAGTAACCCTATCCCAGTTCTGATCTGGATTATAGTAATACCATCCCTCTCCTTTCCAATTCCCAAAGCCACTCATCTCTGGAGTATCATGTGACCCAGTTCTGATCAAGGTGAGGTAAGAAATGTGTGGTGGGTGGAGGCTTTGGGGAAAGGTTTTTCTCTTGATTAAAAAAATAAAAAGACAGACATGGTATAACTTTTTAGTCTGTTCTTGCTCTTCTTGTCATACCTAAAGAGTAGATATACAACTTCAACGTACTGTAACTATGTTGCAAGTATGAGGCAGTTAAAGAGAAGAACAAAGTCTAATATGCCAAGAATGGTCCTTACTTGCATCAGTGAACTGCCTGGACAGCCTTTGCTGTCTACTTCTTGACTTCTTCATATGTGATACAAATGAATCTCTACTTGTTTTAGCCACTTTGGTTTTACTTATATTACTTGTAGCTGGATGCACTCCTAAGTGATATAACAATCAAAGTTAGAGATACTTACTTAACCATGATAATAAAGCTGGACTTTTGAGAATATCCAGATCTCTGAATGGTGATATTAATACATTTAAAGGTCAAATGCCACATTTTTTTCAGAGACAGGCTCTCTCTCTGTTGGCCAGGCTGGAATGCAGTGGCATAATCACAGCTCACTAAATCCTTGGACTCCTGAGTTCAAGTGATCCTCTCGCCTCAGCCTTCCAAGTGGCTGAACTACAGGCACATGCCACTACGCCTGGTTAATTTATTTTTTATTTTTATTTTGGCAGAGACAGGGTCTTGCTATATTGCCCAGGTTGTTCAAATGCAATGTTTTAAAGCATGAAACAATTCATTAACCATAAGAAGAAAGTAAAAACGTATGGTTTTAGTTGACTAGCATAGAATAAACAAGTCTCACTGGGCTAAGTTCAACAATATTTTATCAGGCTCATCATTGACCTTCAGTTATTGCAAAAAACGAAAATGAGAACATTTTATGGACTGATGATGTTAATAATGATAATTATATTAATGTTTATTAACTGCTACTAAATTCTAAGTACTTTGCTAAGCTCTTTACAACCATTGTATTGATTAATCCTTACAAACCTTTGAAGCAAATACCACTTTCATATTCCCATTTTATTGATAAAGGAAGTGAGATTTAAATGGGTTAAGAGACTTGCCCATATTCACACAATGAAAAAGTAGCGGAGCTCAAACCTGGACAGTCTTATTCTATTCTGTGCTATTAAACACTATACTAATTCAACACAGCTATTCTTCTGTTTTGTTTCTAATTTTTCAAATTTTAAAATAGTCTTAAACTTGTAAAAAAAACTGCAAGTCTAATACAAAGAACTTTTTTCCTCTAAACCATTTGAGAATAAGTTTTAACCTGAAGCCTTGATCATTCTTGAATACTTGAGGATTCACAGTGGTTTGAATAGTGATGTCCCAAAAAGTATATCCAAGTCCTAACTCTTGGCACCTGTGAATGTGATCTTATTAGGAAATATAACCTTTGTACATGTAATTATTAAATTAAGGATCTTGAGATGACAAAATTCTAGATTCAGAGTGAGGTACAAATCTGATTACTGGTCACTGGTGGCTGGCAAGATGGCTGAATAAGAACAGCTGCAGAGGGGTGGAAAGTTGGGGAGAGATAGCATGGGGAGAAATGCCAGATATAGGTGACAGGGAAGAAGGCAGCAAGTCACACTGCCATGTGTGTACCTATGCAACAATCTTGCATGTTCTTCACATGTACTCCAAAATCTAAAATGCAATTAAAAAAAAAAAAAAAAACAGCTGCAATCTGCAGCTCCCAGTGAGATCAATGTAATAGGTGGGTGATTTCTGCATTTCCAACTGAGGTACCTGGATCATTTCACTGAGACTGAATAGACAGTGAGTGCAACTCCTGAAGGGCAAGCTGAAGCAGGGTGGTGTGTCGCCTCACCCGTGAAATGCAAAGGGTCAGGGAACTCCTTTCCCTAGCCAAGGGAAGTTGTGAGGAACTGTGCCCTGAGAAATGGTGGTATCTGACCCAGATACTATGCTTTTCCCATGGTCTTCACAACCCTCAGACCAGGAAATTCCCTCAAGTGCCTACACCACCAAGGCCCTGGGTTTCAAGCACAAAACTGGACGGCCATTTGGGCAGACACTGAGCCAGCTGCAGGAGTTTTTTTCTTCATACCCCATGGCAACTAGAATACCAGTGAGAAAGAACCATTCACTCCCCTGGAAAAGGGGCTGAAGCTAGGGAGCCAGCAGCTTGCTCAGCAGATCTCACCCCCCATTGAGCCCAGAAAGCTAAGATTCACTAGCTTGAAATTCTCGTTGCCAGCACAGCAGTCTGAAGTTGACCTGGGATCCTCCAGCTTGGTGGGAAGGGGGGTTTCCACCATAACTGATGCTTGAGTAGGTGGTTTTCTCCTCACAGTATAAACAAAGCTGCCTGGAAGTTTGAACTGGGCAGAGCCCACCGCAGCACTGCAAAGCCACTGTAACCAGACTGCTTTCCTAGATTTCTCCTCTCTGGGCAGGGAATCCCTGAAAGAAAAGCAGCAGCCCCACTCAGGGGCTTATAGATAAAACTCCGACTTCCTGAGACAGAGCACATGGGGGAAGAGACAGCTGTGGATGCAGCTTTAGCAGACTTAAACATTCCTGCCTGCCAACTCTGAAGAGAGCAGCAGATCTCCCAGCAAGCACTACAGCTCTGCTAAGGGACAGACTGCCTCCTCAAGTGGATCCCTGACCCCCGTGCCTCCTGACAAGGAGAAACCTCCCAGCAGGGGTTGACAGACACCTCATACAAGAGAGCTCTGGCTGGCATCTGGCAGGTGCCCCTCTGGGATGAAGCTTCCAGAGGAAGTAGCTGACAGCAACATTTGCTGTTCTGCAGCCTCTGCTGGTGATGCCCAGGCAAAAGGATTTAGATACCCCAGCAAACTACAGAAGACCTGCAGCAGCGAAGACTGTTAGAATGAAAACTAACAAACAGAAACCAATAGCATCAATATCAACAAAAAGGAAAACCATGCAAAAACTCCATCTGAACATCACCAAGGGCAAAGATCAAGGGTAAATAGATCCATAAAGATGAGGAAAAACCAGCACAAACAGACTGAAAATTGCAAAAACCAGAACACCTCTTCTTCCCCAAAAGATC